GGCCGCCGTGAAACCGTGGCTACCGGGACACAAAAATGCGCAGGAGGAGAGGAGGAGAAGCAGAGAACAGAGCCGGAAGTTTGTTTGCCGGGTGAGTGACCATCAGCCCAGGCGGGAACTGCCCATGGACTCTGGATGAGTCTTTGCCCCAGCCTTAACAGCGGCTGTGAACTATTGGGGCATAAAGGCAAAAGACCTGTTGGAGAACAATGCGAAATAATGATTTTTTGGAAATGGCTGCATTACAGTGTTGGATATGTTTATTTTTTCTTTGTATGGAAAAATGAGATTGGACTATGTTAGAGAGAGAGGAAGGAGAAGAGGAAATAACTATGCTTTTAAAAAAAAAGAAAAAAAAAAGAAAACAAACTGAGGCAGAGAAAATGGCTGCTAATTGGCAAGTGAAAGTGTGAATTTCAGACTGACTGCTTGTTACTGATTTACAGACTGCCTACTTGTTACATAAAAGGAGAAACTTTGTTACTTGTTTCTTTAAACTTGACTAATTTGTGGGGGGGAGAGAAAGACTCAGATTAAGAGAGCCTGATTCTGGATAGACAAATTTGTTTATTGGAGGATTTATTGAAGATCAGAAGGAAGAAATTAAATGGAACAACGGAAACTGAATTAACAAACGTGGCAATAAGAGAAGGGTGTGGCAGCACAAGAAAGACCATATATGGAATAGCCCAGAACTAATTAAAAAAAAAAGTTGGAACTTTGATGGCATTAAAATGGAGAAGAAATATATTTGGACAGATTGGAGAAAGGAATATTGGAACATACTATGTAACAAGACAACAAATTATTATATTTTGATTTAAATAGATATAATAGTTTTTGGGTGAATGAACAGAGTTAGGAGACACTTCTTTTTTTTCTTTTTTCTTATTTTACCATCTCTCTCTATTTCCCTTTTCTATCTTTTTATTTGTTTTTGTTTTTCCTCTTTAAACTTTTTTTTAAATCTACTTGATTTCCTTCTTTGTTTTTTCCTTTGTTTTGATATATTTCTATCCTCTTCGCTTTTCTTTTCTTTTTTTTACTATTATTATTGCTGTATTATTATTGTCACTATTTTAAGGTAATTACATTATTATTGTCACTATTTCCCGTTTTCTATAATTATTATTACTTTTATATAAACATATAAATAACTTGATTAAGAAATGTTTGAAGGAAGAAGCATGAGTTTTGGATGTTCTAATGCCTTTTTGAATTTTAAATCTTTAACAAGTAGTATTTATAGATTTAATAATCTGGAAGAAAATGTTTTTTCCTTTAAGGTGTTGGATGTTAAAAGAATTATTCATAGATTTAATAAGCATAGAAAAATGAATTTAAAATGGTTTAAAATGATGTTTGTATTGAAATATGAAATAAGCAAGTAACGGGAGAAAATTTAGGAGAAAATAAGAGAGAAGATATTTGTTGAAATGTATATATATATTTTTTAAATTAGTAAAAGATACGGAGGAGAATAGATTGAAAATACCATTGGTGATACACTTTGAAGTAATTTGAAGCTAAACAATTGAATAAGAGATTTTGGAGTGGAGGAAAATATAAAGCAAGATTCTGGTGATCAGTGAAAGAAAAGCTGAGACCCAGTCTTACAAATAGGGTAGGAGTGGAGGAAAGCATCATACTGGAGAACAGTTAATGCAAACTGGGAACTAGTTAAAAATAAAAATAGGAGTTAGGAACGGAGGAAATATGTGCTGGAAAGCAGTTAAAGCAAAACTGTGAACCGGCCAAAATACAGTTAGGAGTGGAGGAAACCATACGCTGGCTAACAGTTAAAGCAAAACTGTAAACTAGCAAAAAATAAAAAGGTAGGCATTGAGGAGACTATACCTGGGGATCAGTTGAAATAAAGTTGTGAACCAGTTAAAAATAGGGGTAGGAGTGGAGGAAAGCATTGCTGGAGGGCAACCATCTGAGTTGTGAACCAGTTTTACATTAGATTTAGGAGGAGTAAAGGAGAAGGTTGGTATGCAGTTAAAATTATACTGTGAACCAGCCAAAATAATTAAGGTAAGGAGTGGAGGAAGTATTACTGGAAAGCAGCTGATTAAGATGTGAACCAGCTCAAAAATAAACCTAGGAGGAAGTAGAAGAGACATTATTGGAGAATAGTAATTGAACTGTGAACCAGTTAAATAAATGGAGAAAGGAATATTGGAAATTATAACTGGGAAATAGATATTTAAACCATGAATCAGTTAAACAGCTGGTCTAATAGAATTTGAGAGTAAATTTGAAGTATTAAGGTAAAATATTTTGGAAGTAATAAAATATAGAAAGAAATGTTGATTTATTTCAAAATGATTTTAAGAGAGGAGGAAAATATTTTTTGTCAAGAATTGGATATCTGTTGTCATTTAAGAGAGATAAAGTATAGTTTTGAGGCAATGGGTTTTAGGATTGAGGAATATATATGAAATATTAATTGTTAAAATGATAAAGATTTAGAACGGTGTTTATTGTTTAGAATTTTGGGTGTTATAGTAGAATGATAAATGTTTAGAATAAGAATGTTGTCTTTTTTAAAAAAAAAATTAATTTTTTTTTCTTTTTAAAGATTTTAAAATTTGGAACAAAATTGATTGAGGGAATGTGAATAATTGTACTTATTTTAAGCCGGACCAAACCCCTGCTCTAAAAAGATGTATTTTATGTTTTATGCTAAAAAAATAAAAAAAAATGGAAAAAAAACATTGATTTACATTTGTATTGGAGTCTCAACACAAGGTTTTTGTACTTTCTGAATTTCAAAATATTTGGAATTTATCTCTTGAATTTTTCTTTTAACCTTGGATTGAAATATCTACAAAATATCTTTTATTTTCTTCTGCCTTATTGTTCTTTGTTCCCTGATCAAGTTACACAGAGTAACAATATGTCAGATTACAGGCAAACAACAGTGGCTAAAATTTTAAGAAAAAATTGTTGAGTAGTATGCAGCTTTTAGTTGAAATTTTCTTTAAAAAGTTTGATGAGATGATAATAGCTGTGGAAAATATGCAGAGGCATGTAGCTCTGGATAAAGATTCACAAAAGAACTCTGATCTGAAAATCATAGACCAAAAAAATATCCCGATAGCTGGAGAACTAATTGAGCTGACCCCAAGCATCTCTTTGAAGATCAAACCTGCATATTCTTACAATACTTGGAGTCTGAATGAGTGAGAAAGTGACAAATCCTTTTTTCCTACTAAGTCTGAAGTAGATTGGAAAATGAATTTATTACACCTAACTGAAAACTACTTCTATTTGGACTTTGTTGTGAAGATAGACCCACTTTGGAGATTGAATGTATTATATTTAATTAGACAACAATTGAGATGGCATTAAGAAACAAACGATAGTTGATCCAGGATGAATTACTTTTAACTTTTGGGATGATTTGGAATAGATACGATGCTGTGATTTTCTATGAGTAGATTACAATAATAATTTGTTTATAGAGAGTTTTGAAACCTTAATCTTGTCTATTGTTGTTGTTATTCCTTTTAACCATTTTATTATTAATATACTACTATAACATAGTATATACACAGTCGCCAAAATGATCCAGTGGAATATCTGTAAAAATGATTATGTGCCAGTAATGAAAATTGATGGAACAATGTTTAAAAAACGATCAGAACATAGAGTTGAAAAAGTAGCCATAAATTTAAAATGGCAAATGGGCAAGTTAAAATATTGTGAGATTTTGAAATGCAAATTGCTAATGTCTTGGCTCCTAATACATCAGATTTAATTGTGATTGAAAAGAAGAAAGTTTGAGTAATTGATATGTGGAATAATTGATAGGGGATAGTTGAACAGAAGACAAGGAATTGGAGAAGATCATGAAGTATCAAGATCTAAAAATTGAATTTGAAAGCATACTGTAAACAAGCCATGGTGGTTATCGGTACACTAGATACCACACCAAAAAATATTGCATGGCACTTGGAAAATTAACATTAACAATATTTCAGTTGATCAATACAAAAGACCATACTGCTTGGATTCACACACATTTTACTCCTCTTGTGGCCCATCAGCGGCCTGTGCAGATTGTAGCTGATTCCGACAATGAGGAGTCTGGTGCGGTGCTGGGCCAGCAGCCTGTGCAGCTGGTGCTCGAGTTGGACAGTGAGAAGGCTGGAGAAGATGTGGTGCCAGAGGCAGGGATTCAGCCAAGGCTTCAGAACCTCCAGAAGCTTCTTTAAGTGAAGAGGACGAAGAGGAGGAGCCTCTTCTCAATGCATGGGCACGCAGAGCTGCCAAAAGGCAGGAGTGGTTCCTCAGGAGGAGGTCTCCTCAAGAGTAAGGTTTGGGGCTAATTGGTCACTCCCTTAGCCTATTTAAGAAGGAACGCCGCTTGCAACAAGCTGTAGAGAACAACTTTAGTTCACTCTCTTTCATGTCTGCAAAACTGCTTCTGGGCTTTCTGCCAACTCTAGTAAGACTGTGATTACCTTATCATAGAAGTCTGGTAGGCTGTTAAGACAGTGCATTAACAGCCTTTGAATGATAAAGACTAAGTTATTTTGAGTCAATAAGCTTTGTATAGAGTTTGTATGTGCTGCGTTCTTTAGGATCTGTATCTGGGGCAGAACAACTCCAATACATTACATATCTTAAGTTCTTGGGAAATACTTGATGTGTATGAAGGCGAACCCAAGCTAAAGAACTGGCAGTTGTTATTTCAGGTTACGTGTAATAATAATAATAGTAATAATAATAACAACAAATACAATGGTTACAAATACCTAGGCATATTGGAAGCAGATAACATCTTGAATGGAAAAGCCAAAGAGTCAGCAGAAAAGGAATACATCAGGAGGGTCCACAAAATATTAAAATCAAAACTGAATGCTAGAAACATAATTAAAACCATTAATACATGGGCAGTTCCAGTGATACGCTACTCAGCTGGAATCATCAACTGGACTTTGGCTGAACTGGAAAACCTGGACCGGACGCACAAACTTTTGAATATGTACCATGGTTTACATCCACGAAGTGACATCGACAGGTTGTACCTGCCAAGAAGAATAGGGAGCAGAGGGCTATTGCAAATCCATCAAACTGTAGAAAAAGGAAAACAAAGTTTGAATGACTATGTGAACCAAAGTACAGAAAAATTGCTGCAGGCTGTGAAAATAGAGGACATTATAAAAACAACAGAAACAAAGGCAGAATATAAGGAAAAACAGCTAGATGACAGATTAAATAGATGGAAAACCAAAGCTGTGCATGGATAGCACTTGAAAAGCATTGAAGAAAAATGTGATAACAACTGGCATGGACATGGCTTAAGACGGGAACTATCAAGAAAGAAACGGAAAGTTTAATACTTGATGCTAAGAACAAGCACTACAATACCATGAAAGTGAAAATATAAAAATCCACTGACAATCCAAACTGCCGACTTTGCAATGACAAAGTTGAAACTGTTTCACATTTAATATGTGAGTGCAGCAAAATCGCACAAACTGATTACAAAGCTAGACACAACCGAGTTGCTAAATTAATCCACTGGTCATTATCTAAAAGATATGCCTTACCTGCATTTGAAAAGTCATGGGAACATAAAGTAGAAAACGTTGTTGAAAATGAGATGGTGAAGATCTTGTGGGACTTTCGAACACAGACGGATTGTCATTTGGAACACAACATGTCAGATATCACAGTTGTTGAAAACTGAAGTGTACAATTTATTGATATCACTGTACTGGGAGACGCCAAAATTGAAAAAAAAGAGCCTGAAAAAATCACGGAATATCGTGACCTGGCCATTGAAACTACATAATTATCAATGAAACATGTAACAGTGATACCCATGGTGATCAGGGCACTTGGTAACATGTCCAAGAATTTTACAAAATACATCAAGAAATTGTGGCTTCCTGCAATAACACCAGCAGAACTGCAGAAAACTGTGCTACTCGGAACATTGTACATCTTAAGAAGATACTTGGATGATACCTAGGATGCTGGCAGCAACCCGTATCAACCATTAGGGCCAGTCTGTGATATTTGTGGTATATTTTTAAATGTTCAGTTGACTGAGTTTCATGTTTAATGAATAAAACACCCAAGGATGCAGAAACAAAAGCTAACAGTAAAAGCAAAAGGGAACTTAAAAAGAAAATTTAAAAGGAGGAATAAATTGGAAATACAGTAGGGAGGAAATCCTAAACACAACATGGCAATGACACCCAGACAACCAAAGATAAAGGACTTATTTCAGATAATGAACGCTGCAAGTAAATCTTTATTGGTTTTGCACTTCCACCCTCATAACCTCTGTAAATAAACCCTGCTCCTTACTGGAATGGGAGGAGGATTACTGCCTTTCTCTGGAAACTGAGGCTCCATTGGGAGCCAGAGCGGGAGAATAAAGATAATACAAAGAGCAATTTTAAAGGAGACTTGGAATTGTTTGCCAAGAATTGCCTCCTGACAGCACAAATAGTTATTGCTATATTTGATTAGTTCTTGGAAGCAAACAAAAAGTTTGAAGAATAAAAATCTCTAAAATTTCTACACCTCTAAGTTAGATAAGGAAGCAAACAGCAAAGCCCATGCTCCAAAACTTAATCTTAATTCATGGATAGTTCATGTGTATTGGGGGCTTCAAGATGGAGAAGACATGGAGGACTTCCAGTTTGACATTGCTGCGACACAGTCATAGGAAGCGAGATTCTGTGAACCTAGGCTGAACTCTCCTTGCTGGGGGCCCCTTAAAGAGCTAAAGTCACCTCATAGGGATGATGAAGAAAGAAAAGACACCTTGCAGATCGTGGAGAGTGGCAACTCTCTTGCTTGATCCAAGTCTAACCCTCCTATTGAACAACGAGGAAGGAGAGATGGCCATTATGGCCGCCGGGAAGCTGGAACATCCGAAGAAAGAAATGTGCTGGAGCAGTGTTTGAACAGTGGACTGGAGCTGGGTGAGATGATCTTCAACTTCTTTACTAGAGATTAAACCCCAAAGAAATGAAACTCCAAAAAGATGATTCTCCAAAATGTTTAAAGTGGCTAACAATTACTTAGAGGAAGACTACAGACTCAAGAAAAAATGAAAGCTAAGATGGGATATAATTTTAAAATATAGAAAGACTGGATTTGAACATTTTATTGGCAACATCTTGAAAAGGCATTTTAAAATGCTGGAAACAATGGGCTGATTATTGGGGAAAAGTGAAAGAAAATTATTTGAAGAAATCGAATGCTGTTAGATTGGGTGTCATGTTGAAAGTTTAGGCGGTGATGCCATCTACTGGTGAAAGAAAGGAAATACACTAAATGTTTACACGGCTGGGAAGACTTTGAAATAATTTCTAATAGTGGAGGTAAACACATCTAGAAGACTAGATACTGTATACTGTTTGATACCTATTTGTTTCACAACTAAGGGAAAATTTCTGAGACTTTTGAAGATTGCTAAGTAGACACTTGAAACTACAGTTGCAAGAAAAAGTATGTGAACCCCTTGGGATTACTTGGAGTTTTGCATGAATTGGTCATAAAATGTGCTCTGAACTTCATCTAAGTCACAACAATAGAAAAACACAGTCTGCTTAAAATAATACTACACAAACATTAGAGGTTGCCATGGTTTAATGGAACATAACATGTAAATATTTACAGTGCAGGGAGGAAAAAGTATGTGAGCCCCTAGCCTAATGACTTCTCCAAGAGCTAATTGTAGCCAGGAGTGAGCCAACCTTGACTCCAATCAGTGTGATGATTTTGGATGTGTTGCTGACAGCTATCCTGCCCTTTAAAAACACACACCTATTTTGGGGTTACTGGTTTCAAGAAACACTGTCTGATGTGAACCATGCCTCGCAGAAAAGAGGTCTCAGAAGACCTACGATCAAGAATTGTTGACTTGCATGAAGCTGGAAAGGGTTACAAAAGTATCTCCAAAAGCCTTGATGTTCGTGTGTCCACGGTAAGACAGACTGTCTACAAATGGAGAAAGTTTAGCACTGTTGCTACTCTTCCTAGGTGTGGTTGTCCTGTAAAAATGACTGCAAGAGCACAGTACAGAATGGTTCATGAGGTAAAGAAGAATCCTAGAGTGTCAGCTAAAAACCTACAGAATTCTCTGGCACATGCTAACATTTTTGTTGACACATCTACAATAAGGAAAACATTAAACAAGAATGGAGTACATGGGACGACACCACAGAGGAAGCCATTGCTGTCCCAAAAAAATATTGCAGCACGTTTGAAGTTTGCAAAGGAGCACCTGGATGTTCCACAGCACTACTGGCAAAATATACTGTGGACAGATGAAACCAGTGGTGGGATTCAATTTTTTTAACAACAGGTTCTGTGGGCTTGGCTTAGTTGGGGGTGTGGCTTGGCAATCATGTGACTGTGTAGGCGTGGCTAGCTGGTCATGTGACTGTAGGCGTGGCTAGCTCATCATGTGACCGGGTGGACGTGGCTATGTGCATAAGGACTACTCAGAGGGCTGAAAAAAGTCATTTCTGACTGGGCCTCGCACTTTTGACCGGTCCTCACACTTACGACCATCCTCACATTTATGCCCGTGCAGCTTTCTTAACAACCATGTCACTCATTTCACAACTGGTCAAAAACTAGGGCAAAAACGTAAAATGTGAGGACAGTTGTAAGTTTGAGGACTGGTCAAAAGTGCGAGGATCAGTAAAAAATAACTTTTTCAGCCCTCTGAGTAGTCCATATGCACAAAAGGACTACCCAGAGGGCTGAAAAAAGTGATTTCTGACAGGTCCTCGCACTTTTGACCGGTCATCATTTATGCCCATTGTAGCATTCTTAACAACCATGTCACTCATTTCACAACTGCTTCTCTTCACCATGGTGACAAGATAGGGCAAAAACGTAAAATGTGAGGACAGTCGTAAGTTCGAGGACTGGTCAAAAGTGCGAGGACCAGTCAGAAATAACTTTTTCAGTCCTCTGAGTAGCCCATATGCATAAAAGGATACAGCAATAGAGAGAGATGAAGGAAGGGAAGGGAAATTAGAGTAGGAGTGAGGGTAAGAGAGAGAGGAAGAGAGGAGGAGAAGGAGAAAGGAAGAGGAAGTAGGGAGGAGAAGAAGAGGGGGAGGAAGAGAAAGTAAGAAGGAAAGAAAAGAGAGAGGTGGTAGGTTTGAGGAGAAAGATTGCTGTACAATAAAAAAGATGAAAGGGAAGAAAGCCAACCCCAAACAAATATAAAGATATTAAGATAAAGAATGAATTGTTAAACTTTAAAGAATAAAAGAGAACAAATATGAATAAATAACAATAATTAGAAACACACATTCAAACATACAATGTATTTTCTTTGAACAGAGTATTTGGCCGATTCACAAATTTAAACAGTGTTTAGTCATTTCAATTAAATTTACAATTTCTATATTTCCTTTTTGCCATATTTATTCCTCATCTATTTTTGTAAAAAACCAATATTACCCTTCATCCTCATCTCTAATCTTAATCAAATTCAATTTTTCCCTTCTATTCTATATTATACCCCTTCCCATTGTCATCTATTTTTATATCCATCCTCACATTGGTTAATTATGTAATATTAGTTGTTTAATATAAATTCAACATTTTAATATAAATCAATTAGTTATATAACTACCTTTTTTGTATATTAATCAATATGAACATGAATATTCCAATTATTTCCCTGCAATCCAATTTCTTACAAATCAATTATATTTACCAATAATAATAAACCAAATAATTTCCCCCATATATTCCTCCAAACCACAACTTAACCATTTCTGCTTTCAAAAATATACAATTAATAGTATCTCAATTATTACAATTCCCTAGTTAAATAGAGCTTTTTTTCTTTTGTGTTTTAAAATCCTGAACTCTCCTCTTTTTCCCTAAATTTCCCATTGTTTGCACCTACCTTTTTTGGTGAGGAAGAAGAAAAGAATTCTGCCTGCCTAATTTTCCAACCTTGCAGCAACAGAAAAGCAGTTTCAGTTTCGTGTTTCAGCATAGCTAGGGGGGAAAAAATTGCTTCAAGACTCTTTGCAAGGAAGCAGCCGAGCCCTGAGCAAAACAGCTGAGACAAATCAGCTGAGAGCCGGGAGGCCGATAGAATCAAGGGGCTAATTAGCCTATGCTGAAGCTCCGTGGGCCAATAAAATTACAAAAAAACACCGAACTCTTTGTTAAATTGCTGGCTCTCCCACCCCTCGCCCACCACTATTTATTGGCAATAAATAGTGGTGTGGAGGGGCGGGGCAAGCCAGCAATTTAACAAACGGTTCGGCTGCACCACTGGCTATAGGGCGGCCCTTTGAAGCCCCTCGGCAAGAATTTGAAGTTTTTTTTTCCTCTAGCCATCAGCTGGGACTCCGGAGGCAGCAATAGATTGGGAGTGGGTGGGGTAAGCGAACGGCCGGCGATCCAACAGAGGCGAGAGTGAGGGTGAGTGAAGGCGTGGAAGCTGCTTTCTCCATCCTGCTCTCTTGCGTCCGGAGCCGGTGGGGAACCACGTGGCAGCCCACGTGGATCCCAGGCAGTGGAACTCAGGCTAGGGAAGGGGTGGGCAATTGTGGCTCTTTTACAACCTTAGGCCTTCAACTCCCAGAATTCCTGAGACAGCCAAGCTGTCTCAGGAATTCTGGAAGTTGAAGGCCACAGGTTCTAAAAGAGCCACAATTGCCTACCCCTGGCTACGGTAGGCTGGTGCCGCACGGGTGGGAGGCGGGGCGGGGCGAGGGGCGGGCGAGCCAGCAATTTAACAAACAGTTCGGTGTGCTGCGGGGTCAATAAATTACAAAAAAACACCGAACCGTTCGTTAAGTTGCTGGCTCGCT